ATAATTAAGGGGTAGAACACATGCTTAGCACACATGAAAAGTACTCAATCCCTAGCACCCTCCCAAATATATGTATATAATTATAATATAAATATATGTATCTATACCACACACATATACATACCATGAATAAATTTATATAATGATAATTAAAAAAAAGAAGTATTTGGGGCTTGAGGTTATTCACCTTCATGAAGGGATTAATGCTCGGACTGGTTAATTCTCTCAGAAGTGAGTGAGTTTTGCTCTCATTTTTGAAAATGAGTTTGGCTTCCTCAGTTCTCCCTTGCTTTCTCTCTCTCTACGTGACCTTCTACCTTTCTGTCATGTTATGACACAGAATAGGTTCCTCACCACATGCCCTTTGACTTCCCAGACTCCAGAACTGTGAGTCAAAATTAACTTCTATTGTTCGTAAATCATCTAGTCTCAGGTATTCTGTTACAGCAACAGAAAATAGACTAAGACATGTTAGAACAATTTTTAGCCTTCTGGGGAAAAAAAAAGTATGCTTTATTTGCACGGCCAACCTCATAACAGGATAAATTCCATATGGCTCAAAGACTTAAGTATGAAAAAAACCCCACAAAAGTTCTCAAAGAAAATATGGAAGAATTTATAAACTTAGAATATAAAAGGCCTTCATAAACCTGACTCAAAATACAGAAGATATAAAAGAAAGATATATATACACATATATTTGATTACAAAAAGATGAAACTTCTACAGGGTGGAAATTACCATAAGCAAAGGCAAAAGATAAATGACAAAATGCAAAACTGCAAGACAAGAGGGTAATCTATATAACATATATCAAGCTTTTAAGAAATTGATAAGAAAAATAATAATAATCTTAAAAAAATAGGACAAAGGACAGTTTTCAGAAAAAAATACAAATGTTTCTTAATCATATTATTAAAGGATGCTCAACTTCCCTCATAAAAATATAAACACAAATTAAAACTATACTGATGGGTCATTTTCCCTCTATTCATTAAACATCTGAAAATTTGGCTGGGAAGAGAACACTTGCCTAGCATGCATGCCGCTCTGGGTTTGATCCCCAGAAGTGCGAACAAACAAAATCCAAAATTTGATAATATTGACAAAGCTTTAGGAAAACAGTCACTGCTCTCTATCTCTGGCGCTCTCAGTCACTGATGTGGAAATACAAAGTGGTACAAGCCCAAGGAGAGCAATTTGGCAATAACTCTCAAAATTACAAATGCACATAATCTCTGACCCAGCAATTTCACTTCTGGGAATTTGTCTCTACAAGTATGCTACCACATGATCAAAATGACATATGAATATGGTTATTCACTGCAGCACTGTTTGTAATACCAAAACATCCATCAAGCTGGGCATGGTGGCACATGCCTGTAATCCTAGTGGCTAGTGGCTAAGAAAGATCACAAATTTGAGGCCAGCTTCAGCAACCTGTCTCAAAATAAAAACAACAACAACAAAAAGAAAGGGCTAGGGATGTAGCTCAGTGATAAAGCACCCCTGGTGCTTTCAATTTCTTGTACTGTGAAAAAAAAAAAAGTGTCCATCAAAAGAGGATAGTTAAAACAATTATGCTACATCCATATGATGAAATATTAACAACTCTAAGGATAAAAAACACTCCTGATATAGAAAGATGGCTATGATACATAATCTTTAAAAAGGCAAAGTATAAAACAATACATGTGTCTATGTATGTGTAAAATAAGGTTAAAAAAAAATTGGGAGCTAGGGCTATAGCTCAGTGGCAGAGCGCTTACCTAGCATGTGTGAGGCATTCAGTTTGATCCTCAGCACCACATAAAAATAAAGAACAAATAAAATAAAGGCCTTCTGTCCATCTACAACTACAAAAAAAATTAAAAAAAAAAATTTTTTTTTAATTGTCCAAAAAACCCAAAATAGTAGCTGACTGTTGGGGTCTGGGAGACAGGAGATAAGAATGGGATAGAGACTTTATGCATTATTTTTTAAATATTTTTTGAGTTCTGAATCATATGAATATATTCAGAAATAAAGTATTTTAAGTTTGTCAAATAAATCAGTGAAGTATTAACTATCAGTCTCATACTTAACCAGATTCAGCCTACAATGCAAGATTAAAATATGTTACCAGCCATAACAGTGCATACCTGTAATCCCAGCAAATTCGGAGGATGAGGCAGGAGGATGGAAAATTCCAGCCTTGCCTCAGCAACTTATCGAGGCCCCATCTTAAAATAAAATGAAGTAAATAAATAAAGGTCTGGGGATATAGCTCAATGTTAAAGTGCTGCTGGGTTCAATCCACAGTACCCAAAAGAAAAAAGAAAAAAAATTATTAAAATATCCTACGAGCTCCCAGAATGATACAAGTCTGTTTCTTTACTTAAATCAAGATTCATGCACTACATGAAAACAAGCTGACCTTCAGTTGTGAAGAGTAAAGAAGCTGTATTCCTATTGAGAGAGAGAGAGAGAGAGAGAGAGAGAGAGAGAGAGAGAGAGAGAGAGAGTGTAATGGGGTGGGGTCACAAGCAATGCGGGAGAACTATTTCCAGCTGAATAGCTCTTTTATTTTCTAGTGTGATTATCAGTCTGGTTAATGGCCTGATGGTAGGCATGGAAAGGAAGAACAATCACAAACGGTCAATGGTAAATAAATCCATGGGCTTTGATGGCTGGTTGGCTGTGGAAGGCTAAACAGATATAAAAAGACAATAGGGGCCAGGCATGGTGGTGAACACCTGTAATCCCAGCAGCCTGGGGAGGCTGAGGCAGGGAATTTAGAGTTCAAAGCCAGCCTCAGCAATATCAAGGTGCTAAGCAACTCAGGAAGACCCTGTCTCTAAATAAAATACAAAACAGAGTTGGGGATGTGGCTCAGTGGTTGAGTGCCCCTGAGATCAATCCTCAGTGCCCTAAAAAAAAAAAAGACAACAGGGGCTGTGGTTGTAGCTCAGTAGTAGAGTGCTTGCCTAGCACAGTTGAGGCACTGGGTTCCACCCCTAGCACCACATAAAAAACAAATAAAACAAGTCATTATCTGAAATCTTGGACAATTAAAAAAAAAGACAACAGTATCATTTAAAGCCTAGGTGTTCGGTGGTAGCACTAAAAATTGGAAAGTCCAGAAGAAGAAATGGCTTAGAGGAAAAGCAATGCCAGTTGTAAGTGCATTTGAGATGAGAGGAAAATCAGTTTGAGGTGGCTAGAAAGCCACTGGAAATGCTGATCTGAAATTCAGAGGGACAGTCAGACTTGAAGACAGGTGCAAGAGACATCTACAGATAGCGATTGGGCTGTTATCGGGGATGAGGGGGCTGAGTGGAAACAAGCGCTAAGATGAGAAACTGGAGGATCGCCCACGGCCATGGAGTCGGATGGGCAGGAGAAGCCAGCATCACAGAGAATTATAGAATTAGGAGAGCTTTGTGACATGATTAGTGAGGGGTGGGAGTTTTAAGAAAGACACAGTGTAAGGGTTAAAGGATTGAGGGACAATAAAAACAGTAGCAGTGTTCATGGTCTCATTTAATCCTCACATATAGCAATGAGTCAGGTAGATGGTATTATTACCCCCCTATTTTACAGAACGGGACATTAACCCAGACAATGACTCCAAAGTTGCATGACATAACTTTGGGAGATCAGATTTCTGATGCTATTTCGCTATTTTTTACACTAACTTAGCTATATGTCTGTAAGGCAAGTAACTGCCTTTTAAGGCTTCATTTCCTTCCTGGCATATTGAAAGGATTGGTGTAGATCATCTTCAGTTCTTTGCAATGTGAGTCTTGGGTTAAGACAGAATGAAAGAAGTTCATACACAAGAGAGAGACCATGAATTAAAAATCTAGCCCACATTCAGAAAAATATGCTACTTTTTTTTTGGGGGGGGGACGGGTACTAGGGATTGAACACAGGTGCACTTAACCATTGAGCCACACCCCCAGCCCTTTTTATTTTTTATTTTCAGATAGGGTCTTGCTAAAAGTGCTTAGGGCCTTGATACGTTGCTGAGGCTGGCTTTGAACTCACAATCCTCTTGCCCTAGCCTCCAAGCCTCTGGAATTATGGGTATAAACCATGGGGCCCAACATTATGCTACATTTCTTTTAAGAGATCAGTGACGGGCTGGGGATGTAGCTCAGTGGTAGAGCGCTTGTCCAGCATGCATAAACTCTATGAGTTCAATTCCCAGTACCTGCCCCCACCCACTAAAAAAAGAAAGGAGGTTTATCATACTGGGTTCAGGAAGCTGAAGCAGGAGGACTTCGAATTCAAGTCCAACCTGGAAAACTTAGCAAGTCCCTGTCTCAAGAAAAAAAAGTCCAGAGAACATGGGAGCTGGTAGTGAAGGCTAGCAGGTATTAGGCCTTGGGTGCATCCCCAGATCCATAAGAAGAGATATAAGAAGGGGGTGGGTTTGTGGCTCAGCGGCAGAGACTCGCCTAGCATGGGCAGGACCCATGTTCGATCCTCAGAACCACATAAAACAAAGGCATTGTTTTGTGTCCATCTACACTTAAAAAAATATATATATTTTTTAAAAGAGATATAAGACATTAGTCAAGATAAATTATCCTTAAAACATTTTTTAACAATAAAATCAGCTTAGATTTTATTGTTAAATAAATCTGAATGATAAATATTCTAAGTTTTTTCTTCTTTTTTTGAGACAAAGTCTTGCCTAGTCTGTCTCAAACTTCCTGCCTCCACTGCCTGAGTAGCTGAGACTACAAGCATGCACCATCCCCCTGCTAGAATGCTGAATGTCTGATCCAGTGTATTTCCAAGCAATAAATTCATTTATATCTATAGTTACAAAAAAGTTGTGTATGTGTGTGAGGTGTAATATTTAAGTGAGGTATAATAACAAGAATTATAAATTTTCATTTGTGGGTTGAAAATGCTGCAGCATGTCCTTAGCATACTCAAGACCTTGGGTTCAATCCCCAGCACCAAAAATGTATTTATATATATCTTTCTATATATATTTTCCCACATACCTGGAAATTTATGAATGCTGTTGTTGAACCCTGTTAAATCAGTCGAATGAAGTAAAAAAAGTAAAGATTCCAAGTGAAACAAAGTCTGTATGTGGAGAACTGTCCTGTAGAGAGAGAAAAGAGCTAGTTATAATGTACTTTTATAATAAGAGAAACATCTATTAAAATATATATTTATTTAAATAAATTATATGGGAGCATCTATGAGATATCATTTTTCAGCATGTAAAAATAGATAATCTGGCATAGATTATTATTGGAAAATCATTTGGTCATCAATTTGTTCATTGAGATTAAACATATATATGGAGCTGGGGATGTGGCTCAAGCGGTAGTGCGCTCGCCTGGCATGCGTGCGGCCCGGGTTCTATCCTCAGCACCACATACAAACAAAGATGTTGTGTCCGCCAAAAACTAAAAAATAAATATTAAAATTCTCTCTCTTTCTCCCTCTCTCTCTCTCACTCTATCTTTAAAAAAATAAAAAAATAAACAAATAAACATATATATGTATGTGTATATTTAACCTCAATATTGAAGTGTACAAAAGAGATATATACAATATTGAATAAATTATGACAAATTGAAAGCAAACACTTTTTTATTTTTTTTTTAGTTGTCGATGGACACAAAACTTCGTTTTACTTATTTATTTACTTACTTATTTATTTTGTGTGGTGCTGAGGATAGAACCCAGTGCCTCCTGCATGCAAGTCAACCACTGGGCTACAAACCCAGCCCCTAAAGCAAACACACTTTTTAACTTTTACAATAAAATAAACTTTTTAAGATGACAGACTTTTCAAAGACAGGACAGCAGACACCACCAAAACAAAACATAAGTCCTCTTGCCCTTTTCCTTCAAGTGGCATCAGCATGATTTATAAGAGAACAGAATACAATAGCTTTAAGGATTCAACTTGAAAAATTCAACATATCTTAAAAGCAGTATAATTCTGAGGGAAGTAGGAAAAAAAAGTTCTATTGTATATGGTTCAGAATGTCTACTAGTCACTCAGATCTTTCATATAACTCTTTTAATTTGCCAGACTGTACCAGAGTGTACCATATTTTGCAACTACAGATATGATAAGTAATGTTTTAGAAAGCAGTTTCACCCAGGAAGGAGTTGTACACACCTGTAATCCCAGTGACTCCAGAGGCTGAGGCAGGAGGGCTGTAAATTTGAGGCCAGCCTGGGCAAATAAGCAAGGTTCTGTCTCAACATAAAATAAAAAAGGATAGGGTATAGCTGAGTGGTAGAGCTCCCCTGGGTTCTATCCAAACCTTTCCATAACAAAGAAAAAACATTCTACTTTTTGCATGGATCATTATGGTTTTGTTAATGTAGAGTTCTTTATTTCCAAAAGCACTGGAAAAATTAATTTGATGTAAAGCAATTATTAAGCTAAGAATTCTCACCAAAATAATGTTGACTGAATTCATGGAATCACCATTTTTGTTGTTGTTTTTTGGTGGTAGGGAATGAACCCATGGTGTTATACCAGTGAAAAACATCCTCTCCCTTTTTAAATTTTGAGACAGGATCTCACCAAGTTTCTGGGTTGGCCTCAAACTTAACGGTCCTCCTGCCTTGCCTCCTGAGTCACTGGGATTACAGGTATCACTTTTAAAAAAAAAAAAAAATAATACTTTTATTTAGTTGTAGTTGAACAAAATACCTTTATTTTATTTATTTTTTTAATG